CTGTAGCCCTGGCTGCACACCGATCCAGCTGGCCTCAGAGTATCATGATTTGAAACAAATGTGAAACTACGTGGGATCATCTGTTCTTCAGGTTCTTTCATTGTCACTTCCACTCCCCTCGACGTCTCTCCGCAGACCCGGGGATGACACGGAGGCGGACGCTCATTGTCTTTTAAGGGATGAACGATGCCCTTTGTTCGGAGTTGCTGTCTCTTGGACGCTGCGTGTGCTCTTTCTCTGCAGCATGACGACAGCACAGATGAGGAGAGCCACAAAGTGCAGCGAGTGTTTGGGAACTCTGTGGCTCCATTGTCTCCGCGTGGCGCTGGGCTGCAGTCCAGCCAGGCTCATGCTTCCTTGGATGAGGTGCGAAGGTGATGGAAGGTGGCCAAGGCCATCCTACTGAGTGCCAGGCACGGGCCTTGGCACCTGCTGTGTTCTGTCCGGGGAAGCCGGTTCAGAGATGAAGTGGTCCCATGATGTCCCTCCCTGTGAAAGGGGTGGAACTGGGACCAGAGCCAGCACAGGGGACACATGGCCCCTCTCGGAGCTGTCCAGTTCCCCTAGGCACCTGTCCTCCTTCTCGTCTTCCCAGATAGTTGGTTTTAAGTGTCTTTTAAACAACTTCCTGCAGTAAAGATTTCCTGCTTTCATGATCCTAACTCAGGAGCCCCATGCTGACCCCTCCGTTGTGAGCTACAATAAGGAGGCAGGCCATTTTCTCTAATCCCTCAACAGTCGTCTTAACTCGAATGATGCTGGCCTCTACCATGAAGTGATAGTGACAAGTGCATGTTGGGAGGTTGTCCAAAGTACATTTGCAGGGAGATTTCCCTCCCTGCTCCAACAAAAAGGACATCCCTGCGGGGTGAGGTGCAGAGAGGAGTAGGCCCAGCCCAGCTCCCCCTGCTGACCCCACTGCCCAGAAGGGAGCCGAGCCTGCCTTGCGCTGGCTGTGAGTTCGTTCTTGCCGCTCCTACCTGAGTGATGGGGGACCCTCCCAAAGAGTTTTTCCGCTTTACGTACAGGATTGGCCAAGCAGTTGTATCCAGTCAGTGGTGAATGTGAGACCTCAGAAACTGAGGCAAGTCTTCTTATTGATGTTACTAGAAAGCGGGAGAGGCTGTGGGGAGCTGATCCCTTTACAGATCTGCAGGGCAGAGAGGTGGGCTGAAGCCCAGTGCTTGCTTGAGAGGACAGTGTGTGGGGGGAGGACTCCCCAGAGACCGGGCATCCTCCTCCACGAATGCTGTGGCTGTGCAAATTAGGCTCTTGTTTGCCAAAGGGAAGGATTTTTTCCAACACATTTGAGATGATGTGTGCTGGGGGCGTTGTGTGTATCTATTCTTTTGCTGATGGAAATAAAAGCAAAATCCTCCTTGCCTCCAGTCCTACAAAGGACATCGTAAATCACAGAATTTCAGCCTCAGTCATGTGTATATTGGCTGTTCTTAATGTACGGCAAAGAAAGTATTGACCACAGAAAATACAGCTTTCTGAACTAACAGTGGAAAACCAGGGTGAGTGCCCGCTCTGCATGATGCTGTGGGCAGCGGGCTGGACCGGCTACGGCCCGTGCCTCTTTCTGTTCATGGTGTGTCTGTGGATCCTTTTCACATCTATAGGATCTGCACTTATATCCCGTCTTTCATTCCTGGTCGTGGTAATTTGTGATTCTTTTTTTCTTTATCAGTCTTGCTAAGGGTTGCTCTATCTAAATTTTTTTTTAAAAGAACCAACTTTGGTCCTTGTTAATCTTCTCTATTGTCCTATTTCATCAGAGGTTTTACATCTAACTCTCAAGGGTCCTAAATCCACTTTCAGGGAGGCTCCTGGAAGTGGCACTGCTGTAAGTACTTCCTGTTCTCCCACTTGGCCCCACAGCACTGGGGCAGGCCCTTTGCAGACCTGGATACACCTTTGGATTACATAGGGCCGACCCATTGGATTACATAGGGAACCATTCCAGCTAGTTCTGTACCTCAGATGCAATTCATCCTGTAGAGGAAGGGTAAATGTTTTTTGAATGAATAACTGGACTATTGTGGGCCTGCTGGTATGCTATCCTGCTCAAAGTGAATACTTGTTATATTATCTCAATAGATACTTGTAATTTCCACATAAAATTAGCTGTTGAGCTCTGTGCACTGTCTGGGGTTGGCTTTTCAGGACACAGCCATGCATGTGCAGTTCTCGGAGCCTGCAGAGGTAGATGAGGGAAGGCCTGGGACATTGGTCATCAAGGGAGGATACTTGGAATGGGTGAGGTCTGAGACAAGGCCCTCCCACAAGTGGAGTGTCCAGTGCTCCCAATTCTATGAGCTGGATGGTGCCTCGGCTGATGACATGGGGTCACTTCAGTTACTTTTGGTCATTGCATCCTACCCTCCCTGCATGAAAACACATGGCCAGGAAGGGATACATTGCTACCTAGAAAAGGAGACTGATGTTGACAGAGGAGCATTGCAGGGTCTTCTGTGAGCGGACACAGTTGGTGAAATCCACCTTCAATAACATCTGCTGTATGTCCTGAGCCTGGGCTTGTATTTCTTGCCATATAGCAATGGCTCCCAACCTGGTTGCACATCAGCCCTTTCTCAGATCTGCTGAATTAGTATCCCTATGTCTGACGCCTGGAAAACCTGTATCTTAAAACACTTCCCATCCATTTCAGATGTAGCTAACCCAGCCTTAGAGCAGGCACCAGGAGCTGACATGGTACAGATGAAACCAGCACTTAGCCTGTTCTAGGGTCTCCGTCTTTAGCTGTGATGCAGGAAGTACTGATGGATAAAACTACACCGAAGAAGGTTCTTTGGCTTCTCTCAATAATGTTTTTCCCTCAATAATTTTTGAAACTAGAAAGAGGTCATGATACCAAACATTTAAGGGCTGATGTAGAATTGTCTGAGGTTCTAGAACTTTCTAGATACTTGAGTAGATCTGAAACTGCTTCCTGAAGATTCTCTACTGGATCTGAAGGTTTCCATCTATGCCAGCTTCACAAGATGGGACAGTCTAGTTCTGGCCAGGATGCAGCTGACGGTGACCCCACTGGCTTTTATTAAGAGCTAATGGTGATTAGGCATCTTTGAGAAACTGCATTTAAAGATACTGTCCATTATGTTGTATATAATACAAATACATACAAAACAATTTTCTCCAAGAAGAGTTTCTTGTTATTAGATATTGAGATTGTATGACTCATTACTTTAAACTTTGTCTCTGCTACCAGGAAGCTCAGAGCTAAATTTTGTGCTCGTAACATAATAATTGTGAGATAAGAAGGCAAAACACAATAAATATTTTAATTTTTTAACTCCTCAGGGAAATAAAAGTGTAGGTGTGCATTAAATGGTTAGAGATAAAAAAAAGCCTCAGAGTACTGTGACCAGGGAGGATTTCGAATGTGCACAGGAGTGCTGGAGAAGGATGTTTTTTGAGTAGTAAAGACTTTTTTGAATAGCGAAAATCACAGTTAACCTGGAGCTGGGGTCATGCTTTGCACGTTGCCTCATAATCCTCACCAGGGTCACCTATGCTCAACTATCCAACAGACAGACAGAAGAGGAAAAGGGACATGAATGGTTTAATGAAAGATGCGGATAGGCCAGGTGTGGTGGCTCACACCTGTAATCCCAGTACTTTGGGAGACCGAGGCAGGCAGATCACCTGAGGTCGAGAGCTCGAGACCAATCTGACCAACATGGAGAAACCCCATCTCTATTAAAAATACAAAAATTGGCCGAGCATGGTGGCCTATACTTGTAATCACAGCTATTCAGGAGGCTGAGGAAGGAGGGTCCCTAGAACCTGGGAGGCGGAGGTTTTGGTGAGCCAAGATGGTACCATTGCACTTCAGCCTGGGAAACAAGAGTGAGACTTCATCTCAAAAAAAAAAAAAAAGAAGCATGCCGATAAATGACAGCATCAGTGTGGGAACTCCGGCCTTCAGGGCACCAAAACCCACCTTGAACCACGATGTGATACCTTCTCCTACACAACACTTATGAGTGCTCAGTCTCCCAGCCAGGCCATGGGGCCACCACTACAGGCCCCGGGAGCAGCAGTGCCCTTACCCAGGCAGCATCTGGACTGAGGCCGCCCTGGGGAACTGTGTCAATCCAGGTTTCCCACAGGTCACAAAGGCCTGTGTGTGCACGGCCGTTAATGCAAAAGTGTCCTTGCTTACTAGAGAGACTGTTCTTTTCAGACTTTGACTTTTATACCATGGTTGGCTGAAATTGCCATGCTGAAAAGCAAAGATCTCAGATCCCACAGATGACCTGCTCTAAACTGAATTGCATGATTTCTAGGAAAACCCTAAAACTAATGGTTCTGACAACTTGGCATCCACTTTTCTAGAGATAAGGCAGATCAATATAAAAACCTATCTTAAAAGCGCCAGCTATTCTCTAAATAGATGGAATTAAGTCACATATGCTCAATCTTTGGAAGTGGCAACACTTTTACTTCCTCATTCCCTGCTACAAGATAGTACAGTTATGGGAGAATTTGATAATATGGTAGTAATCTAATAGTCTAGTAATTATTCAAATTGATCCCTTAATTTCTCATTGGTATGACCTACCAGTTTGAAATGACTTTAGGCAAAATAAAAAATATTTTACTGAGTGTGTATAGGAGGACTCCTTAACCTAGAACCCATCAGCTTCCTAAAATATATGCAAATTATATGCAATTTTTTGTCCCTATGTGGTACCTGTTTTTAGGAGTCCTTTTGGAATATAGCTTTCATGGAGATTTGCGACCTCATAAAAGGTCAAGTGTCATTGCTAAATAACCTTACAGCAATTGACTATCTCAAAATCCTGGTAATTTCTAATAGTGATTAAAACCAGAAAATTTTGTCAACTCCTGGAAATCCCAGAACCTAAGGTCGAGCCCCACTGTGAAGAAACCGTGTCATGTGAATTGCAAATCCCTCAGTGGCCTCTTCCTGACCAGTTTTCAATGTCCCCCTCAAAAAGAAGCACAAGTCATTGAATTTCTCTTTTATTTAAGCATTAAGAAATTATAGCATAGTGACTTTAGAAAACTTTCTTGAAATGTCCTTAACAGCAATGAAGAGACATCATGTGTCATGTGTAGAACATTTTCTTTTCCTTTTTTTTTTTTTTTTTTGGTTTGTTTTTATTTCAGGCTCCTTGACCAGGGAAACAAATGTTCCACTCATTTGCTTTTAAAGTAGAGAACAAGGCACACACATTCTATTTAATAAATGCAAATGATAAAAAAATGTGCTTAGTGTCGTATTGCGGCCAGTTAAGAACAGGAGATGCCTGCACGGAGCCTGGAGAAAGAGGGCGAGGGAAGAAAGGAAATCAAAATAAAGCAGCTGACAGCGACGGCAGGGAGACACGCAGGTGCCGTGACAGCCCCACTGCAGCAGGGGCTCATCTTTGAAGACAGACAGGCTGCAGAAATTCACTGCCTCTAGGATACCACCAGGGAAAAGTCTTCAAAACATTGTTGTTACTGTGACCAAGGGCAGAGGTCTGGCATCTGAATGATTGGTATTTGCACTAGCTGCAAGATGAGACCAAGCTGATCCCCTCCCTGCCTTTGGCTTGGAGTCAGTTCTCTCTTGACCCACCCTCTCATCTCCAGATCAAGTACCCTGCCCAGGACGCGGCACTCAGAGGTCACCTGGGTAGGAGTGGAACAAGAGCAGCACTGCTGCTTCAGCAAGCATTGCTAGTTTCGCCCTTCTAGTATTAATATATTCATGTTAAATGAAAGAAAACTTATCTCCAGATTCAGAGAAGTTATTCAATGGGTGCGTTTTTTGTTGTTGTTGTTTTTGCAACTCATCTGGCAGCTGACCTAGCTCCCAATGAATTAAATGCTTCACATCTAACTAAATGTGCGCCTAGAATTAGAGAGAGAGAGAGAGAGAGTTATTAGAACAAAGATCTCCACAAGAAAAATACAAAATCTGTTTTTTAAAATGTAAGGCTTCAATTTAAAACACAATTAAGACTTGACACATTTAAAGTCTATCAAGATAAACATTAAACCAGTTATTGGCTTTTACAAAGTCAGTCAAAAATTGAGGTAATACATTACTCTTCTAAAACCAGCCTTATCTGATTATACCATTTTATTTCCTTCTCATCCTTTGAGTTAGATATACTCAGATGCATGGAAGAAATATGTAGAAATCAGCCTCTAGTTAGTGGTGAAAGGGTATGGTTACGAAACGGCAGAGGGGTTTTACTCTTTATTCAAATAATACACAGAAAAATGTCATCGGCGGAGCGGTTTCCATGGAAGCGCCCATTGACCAGGGTTCACCAGCTCTGGCGGTGCCTACCCTTCCGCTTTGGAGACTGGAAATTCGGTTCGCTGAGTTTCAGGAATTGCTAATACCCTCAACACTTTTCTGACTTGGGAGAAACAAAATCACAAACGTAGCACCGCATCCCAGCTCTGCAGCAGGAGGCCACCGTCGCAGCCACCCACCCTGGGCCATCGCCTGCTGCACTGTCCAGGGTGCCTGGCACCGGCCGAGGGTGACATCCACAGGGGGTGCAGATGTAGCCCTGGGGAAGGCCCGCCTCCAGGCAGAGGGTCTCTGGGACTTAGACCAACCTTAGGGTTGGAGGGGCCGAGAGGCATTTTCACAGTTGCTTAATTCCCCACAAACTGCAAGGACTCGGGGGCGCCAAGGGGAGGTCAGAGTGGGGCAGAGGCGGCTTCTGGAGTAGATAACACCGATGTAGACAAGAAAGTCCTGGGCTGCCGGCTGGCTAGGGCAGGAGGGGGACCGTGGCAGTCTGGCGAGTCTGGCAGAGCCCCACACGGGCCGGCTTGCTCACGGGTGTCCTGGAGGTGGGCGCTGGCCCGAGGAGCCTGCGGTCTCCCCCGACGGCCCCCAGGCGGAGCGGCAAGTGCAGCCTATGGTTGGGATCAGGCCTGGCGCGTCCCCGGAGGCCCGGACCCCGCAGGCCCGCCGCGCTCACAGCGTGCTCAGGTGCGGCCGCGCGTCCAGGGCCCCGGCCCGGTCCCGGGAGGCGGCCGCCGACTCCACGCCGCGCAGCCACTCCGTGCACTTGCGCACCAGGCCCTCGTCCAGCGCCTCTGCCTCCTCCTCCTCGTACTCTACGTCGTCGTACCTGTGCCGCTCGTTGAGCAGCGACACCTTGAGCATTGGGCGCAGGGACCCCGGCCGCGGGCTCAGCGGGGGAACCTGCAGGCCGCCGGTCAGCAGCGGGGCGCGGGGCCAAGGCGCGCGGCGGCCGAGGCCAGCGGCGGGGGGCGTGTCTGGGTCGCTGGCGGGGCCGCTCCTCCGCGAGCCCGCTGCCCTGGCCCGGGGACAGGGGGCGAGTAGGCGCCTGGGTTCGGTCGAGGGCGAGGGGAAGGGCCTGCGGGGCCGCGCCAGCAGCTGCTCCTCCAGGTCACGCCTCTGGATGACCAGGACGGCCTCGGGGTTGAGGCTCAGCGAGAAGCGCGCGGCGGCGTCGGGCCGGGCGCTCGGCCCCGAGGAGGTCCCCGCGGCGGTGGTACCCGTCCCCGCCGAGGTCCCCGCGTAGGTGGTCCTGGTCCTCGCCGGGCTGTGGCCGAAGCCCGTCGTCCGGGGCGTGGTGCACATGGCAGGGGCCCGCGCGCGGCCGGGCGAGGTCTGCGGGGAGACGCCGGGAGGGGCCGGCGGCTGCGTCCTGTTCCAGCCCGGGCCGCGCCGGGCCGGCGGCCTCTTGAGCGTGGCGGAGGGCCAGGAACTGGAGAGGAGCCCCTCGGGCCGCTCTGGGGGCCTCTTCTTCTTGTCCGCCGCGGCGCAGGGCCTCCGGGGTAACTGCAGCGCGGCTTGGACCCCCGGGGCGGGGGCGGGGGCGGGCGGCGGCGGCACGCGCGGGAAGGGCATGGTGCAGCGGAGCCGCGGGATCCTCAGCCTCTAGAAGGAGACGCGGGCGCTCAGCCACCGTGCAAGCAGAGCGTACCCGCAGGCCGGGCGCCCCCTCCACACCCACCTGCGTCCAGCTGCGGCCGCTCCGGCTTCTTCACATCCCGGCGACCAAACCCGGTGACTCCAAGCGAGAGGCTCCCACCCTTACCTCCTCCTGGGACTGGGGGCTGCCCCCGACTCGGTGCTCCACCCGACTCGGTGCTCCAGGGACCGGACCCTGCGGACACCACCTCCCACCTTCCGACTGCGGGCAAGTCGTGGCGCCCCCGGGTCCCGACGGCCGAGACGCTGGCCGGGCCGGCAGGTGGAGGAGGTGCCCAGCGCGCTGCTAAAGACGCGGCTCCGCCAGGCCCGGGGCAGTGCCTGGCTGGTGTCACGACCGACTGTTGAATGCTAACAAAGTGCCAGGACAGCGGAGGGCGGAGCGCGCGCCAAGCGTCCCGGGGCTCCCCCAGATGGCGCTCGGTGGCACGGGGTTAATTTAGTCCCGCGGACGCCAGGAGCAGCCCGGGGAGACAGCAGCCTCCCGGGGTCCTAGGTGGAGGCCCTGCACGTTTAAGGGAAAGTCCCTTACAGCCTCTCCATGCCTTCGAGAAAGCAGAAAAGGCACCGCGAATGATCCCGCTCTGCGGCCGCACACATCCTGCTTCACAGGAAAAAGCGAGCTGGAGCCGAGGTGGGAGAAAAGACCTTCACTGAATCCTACATGTGTTCACGCCACCCCTTGAGGAGTCACTTTGAAATTCAAAACCTAATTATTTATGAACAGGCAAAATAGTTCAGTTTCCGCTCTATAATAATGATTACATAGCAAATATTAGACATTAAGTCCCTTCAATGAGTGATTCCTGTGAGCAAAGCAATATATTTATTACCGTAGCAGAGATTCAGGATTAATGAGACAAATCTTCACTGTCAATTTACATTCTAGTTGTAGACACATGAAGACATCCTACAACGTTCAAAGTTTGATAAGCGAATAATTGAGCAGTTGCAAAGCAATGGATCAAAAAGTCAACGTTTTGTATGTGCAGTCCCTGCATTCCTTAAGGATAATCATCAACCGCTTAGATTTCCACAAAGTACTTTCCATCAGATCCGCTTTTCTGGTGGAAACAAGGTGAGTGATGGTTATGGCCCCAGGTTAGCTCCAAAGCACATTCGAATGTGGGTAAACACAAATGTGCCCTGTGCCAACAGTCACAGCAGGACAGCATCGCCCTCCGCCTGCCGCCCTGGTCTTCTCCACCGCAGCAGCAACCCCCCCCCACCCACCCCCGTTGACTGTTGGACGCCCCAGAGAACTGTGCTGTGGATACAGGGGAGTGTGAAGGAAACCTGGTAGGTGGTGAGAAACACTGCTCACCAGAGGTTGGGGTGACAGCTTTGGGCCCCGTCATCTCTACCAGCACCTCCCAAACCACCCCAGTACAGCTTTGAAACAAGTCTCCCAGCTCCCAGGCACCTTCCCTCCATCTCTGCCAGTCTGTTTCTGCCTGTGGGCTCAGGCTGTTAATCGGCTTGACAGGTGAGATCCTAAGATACTGAACCCCGCCGCCCGGTGTGTTTTATTCCAGATTTTGGAATCTCTGGGTGGGAGTGGGAAGAGGTACTTCAGTGGCAGCAGGAGGTCCATAGTTCTGTCCCATGGAAACTGGAGGACTGAAAGAGAGGGTGAGGCAGGAGAGGACTGCGGCAGGAAGTATCAAATCTCATTTCTAGGGGCACAGCTAGAGAGGCAGGCTATGGAGAAAAATCAGCAAACACTTGGACCCCCGCAGTTCAAAAGCTGTGATGGTGCTGGTGGCAATGTGCAAAATTGTTGGGCTGGTGAGGTCCTCTCCTTCCTATCTCCTCTTAGGATGCTTCAGAAGTAAGAACAGTTTGGGGATGAGAGAGGTTGGTGGCCTTGTAATAATGCTCCCAACTTCCACTGCTGTCTCTATTCTGCTGGGACACCGGGCATACAGAGGCGAGGTAGCTATGCACCTGCCATCACATGCTCTAATGTGCGGAGGAGATAAGACTCCAACCCAGGAGTGTGATCCAAGGCCAGATTGCAACTTTTACACTGAAGCTGATTGGATTAAGTGACCTCTTACCCACATACTAGTAGCAATTTGGGCCTTTTTAAGCCAAGAAAACTGAGTGTTTATCAGATTGATGTGCATGTCTGACCAGACGAGGAACTGGGATTCTCCAAGTCCTCCCAGCCCAGAAGCTTGGAGATGTGGAAAGCTGTAAGTCTGTGTGACCCTTGAGAGGCAGAAAAGTACATTCTGAGTATCTGCTACCTCGTCACCAGGCCAGGAAGGAGGAGCAGTAACTCTTCCCTCCCTCCCCAGAAGCCCCAGAGCAAAGCATCCTCCTATGAGGGGTTCTGAGCTCCAGGATCTCATGGCAGGCTGCCGCCCCAGGAGTTAGCATTGCTGACCGACTCCCCCTCTCCAGACTCTGAGAAAAGCACCCAAATGGCAGCATCGCTTGTCCCCTACCCAGCTACTTCTGCTACTTGAAACCTTCAGCTCCATGTAAATTAGAAGTTAGAAAGATTGGCTTGGCCCTGGAACAGAATGTGTGAAAGCAGCCTCTGTCGCTGGCCCTCACTGGTGCTGCAGCTGTTAAAGAATCCGTTACCAGTACCCTTCAGTTGACCCAAGCAGCCAGCAGCAGTTCCCAGAAAGGAAAGCCACACCAGAGACGGCCACGTTTAACTTCAGAGCAGCAGGTGTAACTGAAAAGCAATTAAAGAATATAGTAGCCAAGTGCGATGGCTCGTGTCTGTAATCCCAGACCTCAGGTGATCCACCCACCTTTGGAAGGCTGAGGTGGGTGGATCACCTGAGGTCAGAGAGCAGCCTGAGCAACATAGTGAAACCTCATTTCTTCTAAAGATACAAACATCAGCTGGGTGTGGTGGTGTGCACCTGTAATATCAGCTACTTGGGAGGCTGAGGCAGGAGAACCAATAGAACCTGGGAGGTGGAGGTTGCAGTGAGGCGAGATCGTGCCATTACACTCCAGCCTGGGTAATAGAGCAAGACTCTGTCTCTAAATAAATAAATAAAAATAATACAACTTAACTTATAATTTACAAGGGATTTCTCATAGCTTGCCCAGAACACAATAATTATAACTATTTATAATATTAAATGGTAAAGTTTGGGTACTAGAATACTGAAGTCAGCTTATCTGTCTCAGAAATGTATTTTGGGGTTCACCTGAACAACAGTTGATCTCTAAATGCATGATTATATCTTATCTAAATTTACTGTCTCAAATAAGTTGATTTAATAGAACAGTTAATTAAACAAAACCTAATAGAGCTGACCCTTGAACACCATGGGTTTGAACTGTGAGGTCCACTTATATGAGGATTTTCCTCTGCCTCTGCCACTCCTGAGACAGCAAGAGCAACCCCCGCTTCCTCCTCCTCAGCCTGCTCAAGGAAATGGTGATGAGGATGAGGACCTTCATGATGATCCACTTCTTAAGAATTGTAAGTATATTTTCTCTTCCTTACACTTGTCTTAATAACACTTTCTTCAGCTTACTTTACTGTAAGCCTACTGTATAATATATATAATACATATAACATACAAAATATGTTAATCAACTATGTTATCGACAAGACTCTGGTCAACAGTAGCCTATTAGTAATTAAGTTTTGCAGAGTCAAAAGTTATACAAGGATTTCTGACCCTGTGGGAGACTGGCACCCCCAACCCCCACATTGCTCAAGGGTTATATGTATTTAGAACTGTCCTTATTTTTGACTTATGTCATTTATGTTTTAAAAATTTGATTTTCAGATTTCAAATATAACAATAACACAATATTGTCCACATTTGGGAATGGTGATTAACCGCCCACCCCACTATTCTGTCACAGTAATGTGTACATCAGAGTAAAGAATTTCCATTGCAACAGTTCTTTAAGACATTTTGAGTAAGTAATATGTCCACGGGAAATATTTCAATCACTAAAATAAAAGACCAAGAAGATTACATTCAGGTCCAACTAAAATGATAGAGGGCAACTGTCCCACAGATTTGAACTGTGTGAACTGAAGAATGATCAGGGCTGCAGCTTGGTGACCCTGCTGTGTAAGGGCCTCACATCTGATCATCAAACTGCCTGGGCCCTACAGAAATGACCCCAAGGATTCCATGCTCCCACACAATGCACACTGGCTGCTCAACTTGTCATTCCTACATTTCTTTACATGAATAAAATTAGAGCCAGTGATCACAACACCAGGAAGTTAGCCATTATTCGAAAAAATGTTTCATTTTTCTCATTAACTTGATTTCTATTTTACTAAGGCATATAATACTTAAATGTACATTCAGAAAAACTTCAAAATGGAAAATATTTCAATACATTGTTTTTCTCATTAACCCCTTATGGTCTACTTCTTTCAATATTTTCACTCAAATAATTTTACATGCTATAACAGTAAGCAATCAAACATCTAGAACTAAAACTATACCTGAATTTTAAAATAGGAAAAGCTTATTTCAGGTTAAAACCAATTTTACTACTTGGAAAACTTGCCAATAACTTAAACTAAATTTCTTCTAACACTGGTCTGTTACTGTGAAAGGATTTGGGAATTAGAAAAACAGGAAATGTGTTGCATGCTAATTATTTTAAAGTCTTTCCTTTTCCCCATTATTAAGATGATAATAGGCAGTCTATTCTGCAATAAATAATTCACTTTGTCCAGATTAGTTGTATCACTTTAAGCTCATGAAAGCCTTATGAGAGCATTACTAGCAATACCTGCATTTTGCAGATAACAAACCAAGGCTTACCCAAGTAGCCACACATCTAGCACATGGCCAAGCGGCAGGCTGTCAGGCAGTGACGTCCGGAGCACACTCTCTTCCCTCAATGCCAGGGGGTCCCAATTTCTTTGGTCTCAAGACCAGATTACCGAGAACCCCAAAGAGCTTCTGTTTTGTCAATTTTACCTATTATGTTAACCTTATTAGAATTTTAAATAGCTTTAAATGCATTACATGTTAGCAATAAATCCTTTATGTAACATATTTTTAATATATTTTTTAAAAAATATTTTCTGAAACAAACAAATGAGAGATAAGTGGTGGGCTCATGAGAAGCCTGGGATCTCACATCCACTGTGTTCCGT